AGAATACCAGCGTGAAATAGTAGCTTAATGCTACTGTATTTCGTATGGTGAGTGTAGAGAACCGGAGACCCTTTTTACTGGAAACGAGGCATTCCATCTTAGTCCTCACGGGTGACAACGCATCTGCATTTTAATTCGTAATTGAGGATTAATGTAGATGACTATGGGCCACAGAAACCACTTACCATCAGGTGGACTGTGTGCTCGTTTGTCACCCTATCCTATAATATATATATATATATATATATATATATATATATATATATATATATATATATATATATATATATATATATATATATATATATATAAACCTCGTATAGTGGAAGAGTACACTACCTCATATCCTATATCGTCTCGTGGTTGTCATAAGAGGCGACAGAGGGAAATAAATCAGGGAATAGGCAACAACGTCTTCCTAATTGTGACCAAAAATAAAAATAAACTGCTGCTGCCAAACCACTTACCCAGCGTAGCAACTATGAGAAAATCTATAAGAATGGAGGCTTTTGTTCAGCAGTTGACTTTAATAGGCGGTAACGATAACAGTATATAATTTAATAACATTTTTCTCATGATACAACTCATATTTATATAGCATTTAAGAAATTGTTATTTAGCATAAAATTCATGTCAGTTATATACCTACATTGTGTAGAGAATTCACTAGAAACATGTAATTACGATTAACACTATACAATATAACTACAGTAACAAAAAATGTACAATCTGTACAATATAATAATTACAGTAATCTCTTCATTTTACCTTTCTTTTTTAGTTAATTTGATTCACAAATAATATTTTCAATCTATGCTATCATATTAAGTATTTAAAGATACTTATTTACAATATCTACAAACAGTACCTATCGTTTTGTTTTAATCAGTTCATCTTATTTTTAGCTTTTATGACTCCGTAAAACAGGGTCGTTATTAGTTTTATTGCTGCCACATTCATATTTTTCGATAATAAATAAGATTTACACAGCAATTTAATATGCTACTTTATAACGTGATTTGTATAAAATAAACATAAACATAACATAAACACTCACGCCTCTCACCCAAAGGGGTAGGCAGAGACTACGGACTTCAATTTTGCACGATCCTGACATACCTCTTTCGCCTCCTTTACATCCATATATCTACGCATACATGCTCGTCGGTTAAGGGTACTTCTAACGTGGCCCCTTTTCAAAATATCGCCAATTTGGTCGATAAACTTTTTTCCAGGGCGTCCCTTCCCGACTCGACCGTTCACATCTGCCATATAAATTTGCTTTGTCACTCTTTCCTCATTCATTCTTTCTACATGACCAAACCACCGAAGCATTCCTTTCTTAATCCTGGTCACAACATCATCTTGCATACCACATTTATCTCTTATCACACAATTTCTCCCCCTGTCATTCAGATTCAACCCTAGCATACTCCTTAAAGACCGCATTTCTACAGCATTTATTCTACTTTCGTGCTTCTTCTGCCACACCCAGCTTTCACTACCATACATTAAAGTAGGGACTAACACAGCATTATGAATTACCATACGTGCCTTTTTTTGACACATTCTGGTTCTTCACAATAGATTGTAGTGCCCCATTCACTCTATTCCCTGCATTTACTCGTCGTTCTATATCCCTATCATATCTACCATCCCTGCTAAATACACATCCCAAATACACAAACTCATCCACTTGCTCAATTAACTCTCCTTCTATTCTTATTTCACATACCGTTTTGCTTTCTTCTCTTTCAAAAACCATCACTTTCGTCTTACTTGCGTTCACTTTAATTCCCCTTTCTTTTAATTCCCAGTTCATTAATGTAACCATCATTTGCAACTCAGCCGCCGATGACGCAAATATGACTTGATCATCGGCATACAAAAGGCATTTGACGGTTAACTCGCCCATTCTTAACCCACATTCTTCATCTTTCAAAGGTTGAACAGCCAAGGGGAAGCTACACAGCCCTGTCTGACACCTTTTTGGATGCCAAACCAGTCCGAGTAGACCCCATTGATCCTTGTATAAAATAAATAATAAATTATTGTATAAAATAAATAATACATAATATACTACATTAATATAAATATGAAAAAATGTAACGATATTAAGTAAACTTTTAATTTCCGTTGGCTTGCTCATCATTGTGTCAAACAATATTCAATATTATTTATTATTTGTTGGACCTTAATAGCTTCAATTCTGAGAAATAAGATAATAGGGTTCCAATCACGGCGTATTTTACGTATTCGGTCTTGATGATCTTAATATCTTAATAATGACTTTACGCAATTGTCAATAACACGTATTAATATCTAAACTTATTATAAATAAATTTTTTTAAATGATAGAGAACATTCAAAGACTATCTATTCAATTAATACATATTATCAATCTGTAGAAAAGTCGTGTTTGTTATTCTTATATTTTCTAGAGAAAGGGTACTGAAGCCAAATTAGTAGTTATTAGAATTTTTGTATGTCTGTCTAGTATATCTATATCTGTCTGCTAGTCTGTCTGTGTATTCACGATTCACGTACAAAAAACTGTACGTCGGTATTCGTACGGTTGTGTATTCGTATGGATATTCGAACACACGTCATATGTTTTTTTGCTTTATTTCAAATAAGACATAGCGTTTAGCTTATAATAAAATCAAGCCAGCGTCAGGTGTTTCCGAAGAAATGCTATTATTCGATGCAATTTGTTTCTTAGGTCGCAAAATGGCTCAAGATATACGACGAAATATAGTAGGTAATTGTAAGTGGGCGAAACGTAATCTACACAGGGTTATTTTGTAATTGGGCTTCAATTTAGAAAACTAAACTAAAATAGATTGATAAAAATGCTAGTTTATCGATTAGAAAATTTTACAACGCGCGATAGGGTTCAATAATAATTAAAATATCTTAAAATAATTAAAAAGTGGCGAAAAAAAAATTAAAATATAGAGCGCAAAATTGTGTAGAGCATAAGAGTCAAATTTATGGCTAAAACTTTTTATTAAACTTAGGCTTGTAAGAGCCTATATAACTTTATTGAACTATAGCTTTAATGAACATCAAAATCAACACCGGTTCGCAAAAAAAAAGGCTTAGGAAAGAACCGGCATGAAAATTTGGGGTGTTTTTAAAACCGTCTTACAATCTATTTTACAATAATTACAGCTGAATACAACGTCAAAGGTCAATAAATATTTTAAATGGCGGTTTTAACAAAATACTAATATCACTTTCAAGTGGTACTACAAACTGTCACTCTGATTCTGAAATCTAAAATCAAGAGAAATACTGACATCCGTCAATATACGTGATACGTTCAGTAAATGCTACGGTATTTGGCAAATATTGGTGGATCACAGTATTTACTGAACGTTTAGCCTTCGACTAGAGTTATTGCCAATATATTTTGATTTTTATTATTATCAATATATTATGAGCAGTAAAGGTATTCTTTCATAAAGTATAAGCTTTTCAAATTAAAAGGCTTTTTCAACAAAATTTTCCTAATAAGTTATTAATTTTTGTATCTGATTGTTGCACCATATCTATACAGCATAAAACTGCGAAAAATCGCTACTAATAAACCAGTTCATTACAAAAATAAAACAACACATACGCGTTTAGTGTGACTTACTCATAAGATCTAAATAAAATTATATTGTAAAATGCTTAAAAGTATTTTTTTATAATTTTAATACTATATGAAATAATTGAAAAATAACATAATTTAACCAGCAATTTAAATTAAATTCTTATAAATTTATAAAATAAAATAGAAATAAATAATATAAATATAAATAAATAATATAAAATGAAAATAATTTCTAAAAAAATCACTTTAAATATACACCAACTATGATTTTCTTTTTGAATATTAAATTACATTTAAGTCTCCTCGGTTAGCTACCGTACTCCGTTAATTTTGAGAGTATCCAAAATGTTGTGAGAGAGTATTCATGTAAAACTTCATAGCTTACATTTTTTTAAGTTTTTTCGAGCACTTGCCCTTCTAATAATAATATAGGTTTGAAAACAGTATTTTGTAAAAAAAATACTGATTTTTATTGAGAAATAGTTTTTGGATGCCTCTGAGTTAGTTTCCTAAAAATTCAGCAAGTAAAAAATAAGCAAGCCCTTTTTGAAGGACAGTATTAGTGACGCATCGGTTATTAGAATAATGGAATTTATTAACTTTCTATCTTAATATATAATAAAAATATATACAAAAATATATAAATGAAAAAGATAGTTAGCGCTCGCTGTAAATTTCACAGTACGCCAGCAAACCGTATTCGATTCCCGCCGGCACTAATGAAATTGTTAATTGCAATTTTAAGTGCTGATTTACCACATGCTTGGCGGTGAAGGAAAACATCGTGAGGAAACCTGCATGTCTGAGAAATAAGAAAAAAATTCGAAGACATGTGAAGTTCGCCAACACGCATTGGCACAGCGCGGCGGAGAATTCCTTGCCCTAAAACCCTCTCAGAAATGAGTGGAGGTCTGTGACCAGCAGTGGGACGTATATAGGCTGTAACTTTACTTTTTACTTTATATATAAATTACGTGTCACGTTGTTTGTCCGCGATGGACTCCTAAACTACTTAACCGATTTTAGTCAAATTTGCACACCGTGTGTAGTGTGGTCCAACTTGAGAGATAGGATATTTTTTTTTGCCCTTGAGTGACCCACAATTTAATTTGCGATATTAAGGATTTTTATTAGGACATGACTGGGTAATCTTAAAACAGAACAACTTCTGCCTGGCAAGCTAGTAAAATATGAAATATTTTGTACATGTAAAAAAAAGTATATTTATGTTAAAAGTAATCCATATTTTATTCGTAAATTAATTTATATATCCCTGTTTTATTAATCTAGTTTTATTAGTCAAGAAATAGTTTTGTTCTTCCTTTATATCTAAATGTTTGAGTTAAAATATTATAGAACATAATTTTTAAGTGCTAAAGCTTAGTTCCTTCTTTTACAGCTCAACTTTAACCCGATAACCTCGTTCCTGTTTACTTTGGATTTCTTCATCATCGCGCTTAACGTAAGTTTTAATCAAGCAACAAGCCAGGAGACGGGCAGCAGCATCTTCCAAAGAAGAACTAAAACTAAAAAAAAAATGCAATTGCTAGCCCACCCTAATATTTCTCACCCACCCACATACGAGTATTTATTAAAGTTGCAAAGCTTGGCAGCTTTGCAACTTTAACAAATATGAGGCACCTTATGGAGGAGGCCTATTTTCAGCGATGGATTTTGAATAGTCTGTTATAGTTAATATTTCAGAGCAACGCGGCTGTGGTCGCTCGCAGTAGCTATATTGCTCTAAATTATATATATATATATATATATATATATATATATATATATATATATATATATATATATATATATATGTAGCAGCACTGGTGCCACGATAGAACCCATACTCGTAAATATACCGATATTTCATGTTTTCTGAGTTCTTAACCAAACAGGAGGTATTTCAGATCAAAGTGGTCAGTACGGCAAAACGATAATTTCATATGTAAGGACCCAATATTTATAAGATAATTATGCAACTGAAAGCACAGGTAGATTATCAACAGAGATTGTTACGTTTGTAAGTTAAAAGTGGATGTTTTATAACCAAATTAACGTTACGAATTATTTTAAAAGCATATTAAAACTTAATTAATAAAAGGAACCACTCTTTGCTCGAAATTTTTTAATCCTATTATATGCTTAACAATAATAACGTGGAGCCGTGGTAGCTCAGATGGTTAACGCTCGCTGTAAATTAACAGGACGCGAGTAACCCGGGTACGATCCCCGCTGGCACTAATGATTTTTTTTAAATTGCAATTTTAAGTGCTGTTTTACCACGTGCTCAGCGGTGAAGGAAAACATCGTGAGGAAACCTGCATGTCTGAGGAATAAGAAAACATATATTTCGAAGACATGTAAAGTTCGCTAACACGCTTTGGGGCAGCGCGGCGGACACTTCCTTGCCCTAAAACCCTCTCAGAAATGAGGGAAGGCCTGTGCCCAGCACTATAGGCTATAACTTAACTTTTACTTTTATTAATAACATTCCTAGTTAAGGTTTAGTGTCCATAACAAATTGAAAGCTTCAATTTCCTTCCTATTCAGGAAGTTGTTAGATGTGGGTGGCTTAAGGCCATGTTTTGTGACATTCCTAGGGGGGAGGCTCATATTAAACAGTGGACTTTTGGTAAGTTGTAATGAATACATGAATAAAAACATAAGTTAAAGAAACAACTTCGTAGGACTACCCTGTTAGTCCAGTGGCCGTTGTATTGACTGCTGATCATTTGGCCTCATTTTGAAATCAAGGGTCAGACCAAAACCAGCTATTGGATTTTTCTATCAAGAAGTTCTCAGTAGCAGCCCGAAGTTAGGAACTTCGTTACGTATCAGCCCGTGTCTTGGAAGGCACTGGACATTACACACAAGTTTGGTGTTACAAGGCTTGGAGCCTGATACAACGGTTGTGTCGAATTTCCGTCTCATTGCACTATGAGCATGATAGCACCTGTACTTGCGCGCGCACTCATGCTCTATAATCATGTCCTACGCAGATGACTAGCCTCCGTTAAGACCGCCGTGACCGAAATTCTGTTTTATAGTATTGACTTAGAATCTTGTTATTTACATCTTCATGGGACCGTAAACCTTAAGGGTACAATTCCGTAGCCGACTGCAGACAGCAGCAGCAAGCGACTTGTCGTCGCGACATAACTGGTTTTTACGTAGTTCTATGAAATACGTTCCGTGGCTAGTGACACGTCGTTTATCTAGCAGGAGACGACACTGTAGCCTGACCGCAGATCAGTAGTGCCGTCAACACCCGAGCGACAATGGGCAGAATTTTTCTTAAAAGATGAGTATCACCGATTCCGAGGAAGAGAAACTGATAAACCAGGTGGCCCAATATCCCGCACTGTACGTTTTCTCATATTCATTTCAACATAGAACGTGTATCTTTACGTCTTTTCGCTTTATACTTGTATAATAAAATCAAGTCATCATCATCTTCTTCCTCTTCTAACAAAAGATACAAAAAATAAATCGCGATTGCTAATTTCGAGCACGTCAGACAACATGTCCTACTGAACACTCGGAACAAACTGGACACAGGCTGCTGCCTTCTGCAGTCGGGTTCAGAATCATGACTGCAGCAACATCACGCCACGACATGTCACTTCTTGATTCTTCATAAAAAGTAGTCTCTATATATAAGTTTTTATGGGTTAAAGTGCTGTGGGTGGGTGCGGTCTTATTTGACCGCTGGAATTTTGACAGAATATCGAAGCGGTCAAATTTGGCCGCTTGTTGTTTGAGAAGTTAAAGCGCTTTTCAGATGTGTTTTTGACATACGTAACGCCAAGTCTGAAATTCCGAAATTTAGTGAATAGGCAGAGTCTAAAAAGTAGCGAGCTCGTATAAGTACGGTGAGCACATTATGTTTTGTTATAAGTCTCTCATAAATATGGAACTAATAAGTCCAAGACTAACATGAGCTCAATACAAAAAATTGATTTTAAAGTAATCCATTATTTGATAAAATTGAGGAATGAAAAAACTAAAACCTGTTATTTATTATGTTTAATCCTCAGTAGGTTTATTAGTACAAATTGTACTTCTTCTATATAGTATTGCCTTAAATACTAAATTCGATTATAATGCTACTAAGTATATAATATACCTAATTATATTAAACCCGTAAAACTCTCCAGGGGAAATTTCACTAAAGACATTGCCATCGTTACGATTAACAGTTGAATTGCCGACCATGATAGCATCCGTCTGACCCGTTGTGGTTGCTTTCGTCACCGGCAGTTGTATTTTATATCTAGTTAAAATTAGATTATTTATAGCACCTATTATATTAATTGAAGAGATATCCTTCTGAAGAGATATCTTCTCCTATCTTCTCATTCTCTTTGGAATTTACAGTATTCGCCTCTCATAAAATTTACGAGATGAAATAGAGCGATGGATTCTTTTACAGCGCTTCTACACGAAATAATTATAGTACTTATTGTCTAAGCCATCTTACAGAAACGCCTGAATAAATATTCAATTGAAGCTAAATTTAATCAATATTCCTACCTCAGTACCCTCCTTGAATTATATAATTTGACTTGAAGGTAATAATGATGATGACGACGACGATAAATGTTAAGCTTTTAGCAACTCGTTTTTGCATACCGAGCTTAAATAATTCTAATTTGATATCGTTTTCCATTTAAACGGCCTTTTTTCGGCCTCGTCTATATAGCTTACCCTCGTACCAATTCGAGTCGATAAACTAAATTAAGTTATGATCAAGTCGCTGTTAAGCACATCCAGCTGATTTTTCACATTCGAATTCCTAATGTCGAAACAAAGATATCTAAATATAAAACAAGATATTATTTAGCTATTTTATCAAATATAGAAAAGTAAATAAAGAAAATCAAATAATTATTGCGGTTGAAACTAAATATATAATAATATATAAAATAATATTTCCTATTTACGTAATGCAGTTTTATTAGCAAACGCTAGTTTTTCACAACAAAACATTTCAATAGTTCATATAATAGTCCATAGTCCCTATCTATCCTTTTCGGTGATAGGCGTTGGAGTTCATGTATTCATATATGTATAATAATAAATATTGATTCATACACATTTGTACAAATTTAACGAGAAGCTCTAATTGAGTTTTGGTTATAAAGTGATCCACTAATTGAGAATTATATTTGGTTTTAACCGACAACATACGTGAACATATATGAATATGTACTGCGCTTGGTAAGAATATATTATGCCATAATTTTGTTTCTTTTAGGTTTATGCCATGATTTGCGTAATATCACAGTTTCAAGAGTATTTGGAAGGTAGAGGTACCGCTGCTTTTGATGATTCGGACAGGGTGAGTCATAAACATTGTTGTTAATACAACTGCTATGCGCAATTGCACATTTAAGGAAATATCTGTAAGACCCAAATTATTTTAACTTAAAGATAAATAAATATAGAAATAGTTTTTGGTGATATAATTAAACATTTCAGTTTGTTTGCTATGTAGAGCTGATTAGCGGCTGTGCTAATAGTGCAAGTTTTTGTTCAACTTTAAAGGTTTTCGGGTATTAGATGTACGTATAGTCTTTAGCAGTTAGCGGCGTCAAAAGACATCATCAGAGTGTTACCATACACTCAAGCGTCATTTGATTAATTTTTTCAAATTTGATAAAAATTAAAAATCCTCGTTTATGTAAAGACAGAAAAAACATATATACTCATATAACTGTACAGTTACATATATGCAGTAAAATGTCTAGTGATTAATATTTTTCAATTCATCATTTTAATTGTGTTATTATTTTACAATAGATAATTATATTGATCTTTTTTATTTTTTTTCCCGTAGTTGGGTGGGCATCTTACTCAGCGATCCTCCAATACGGAGTCGCGAGTAACGGTGTAAGCTGATTATTTTTTTTACCTGTATGTTGAATGAAGCAAAAATTAATATTTGGTTTGAAAATAAATTCAAATACCTAATAATCTTTTGTGTATAATAATAGTAATATAATTTATCCATAATTTAATTATTTGGATGGATGTTGGCTTTACTTTTATTACATAATCTGTCGCTCTGTTGTGTTGATATTTTTACGCAATACTCTGACGGATCAATATGCCTAAACCATTTTATACTTTTTGTACCTGCGCCTACATGTTAAACGTACCTAATGATTGCATACCCTTTGTCTACATATATATAAAATACATGATAAGCTTAAAGATAGGAAATTAAACTAAGCGTCATTTTAAAAAGAAATCCAACCATCTACTCGTATTTTTGTTTTATAATAAATCTCAGATTATATTTTGAGGTTTTAAAATTAATTTGTTTTTTTTTTCAATGAGCAAAAATATATGAATCACTTATTTTTCAATGAAATTGTTGGATTTTCTTTTGTCTTTCTTTTTTCATGTACTTTATAAAACACCTTGTCTGCCATTAATAAATGTGTATGGTCTAACAGAAAATGCATCTTACTTTTATGTTTTGCTATTCGTTTTGATGTAAATTAGTGGCAAAGCAATTAGCGTGATTTGCTAAATTCAATGTTATTCGTGGAAATTACTTTCTGTGTACGAGGTTTGTTTCAAAATGTAACAGAGTCTTTAATGAATCTTTCATGAGGTTGTAACTAATGTCTTAACTTTAACATACTTTATATAACATGTTATAAAGTAAAATAACAAATCTTTTTTATGAGTCAATTAAATATATAAAATTAAACAAATGATTGTTGAATAATGTAAATTAATATTAAATTATTTTTGAAATAAAATCATTAAATATTTATATGCATTTTAGAATTTTATTGAAAGATGCGATATAATTTTTAATAGATAATGAATATTTATTATTTTAAGAATTAAGGATACTTCAAGAAATTTTATAATTTAAATAAAATTAAAATTTTAGCTCGCCGCAGTGCAATACACTGCCACTGCCCAACATACCATCACCACCAGCTCCGCCCCGAGTGGTCGCCGTCGATCCGCCGGAAAGCCTATGCCGAGTCGTTGTGATCCCGAGGAATTCTCGGAGGCCCCGACAAAGGCTATTAGTGAGTCAATTAATCACAATATTTGTGCCAAAACGCACATTTAGTTGACTATATTAGCTGGTAGTATTTTCTTCCTCTTCACTTCCGCTTCCTTTTTGCACGGGCACACCAATGGAAGGCTATACATGGTGGCGTCATTTCGCGCGCCCAATGAGAAGCGAAAAAGTGAAAATTGAAACACGCCAACAGCCATCCAGAGTTGTCAAAGTGCCGCTGCCGCTCGGGCAGTTGAAGCTAGACTTTGCATATGTCACCTCTGTGACAGTCGGCCACAGAACAACTTAGTAGTGATCGCTAGCGCAGGTGCGTTATCGTCGTGCACTAGTGCGAATAGTTTGTCGTCACGCGCCGCCGCAGCTGCAACGTAGCGCCATCAAATTTGAGGCCTGAGTAGGAGGCAATCAGAAAATCAACGCCCAAGTAAGTGTACTTTGTTAGCATGAGCTGATCTCATTTGTTGTTCTCTTCCCACAGCAGCTCATGCTCCTGACCCTGGCAGCTAATATAGTAAATTAGACCCTAGCAGAGTGTATCGTCCAAACCAGCCACGTGCCACGTCCACCATGTTGTTTTAGAAATAGAGAACCACGCAAATATACAGTGCACCATCGTTAATCTCGCATACAAATCTCGGTGTCATTATTCCCGGAATCGAACCCGGGAGCGTATAGCCAACCATTTTGTGGTTCCTTCTCTCTGGAAACAAAGGACAATCTAGTCACCCTAACAATTTAGTGACCATCCGTTTCCGGATTCAAACTCAGGAACCATTAGCGTCACCATTTTGTGGTCATTCGTCCTGGATTTAAAATTAGCAACCCTACCACTCCACCACATAATATAATAATTTTGTCTATAAAAATGTGTTATTTACTACAGTTTAAAATATTCATAGTATTGTAAATATTAAATTTTCAGACATTTATTCCAATTAATAACATACAGTTACGAATCATTTTACTTGTTAAGTTATTTGGGAATAAAAATCGGATATCACTTTGTATAATTTTGGGAACGATAATCTTATATTCCTAAACAATTAAACGGAGGTGCTATAATAATTATACTATGTAAAAAATTGATCATTAATTTTGCGTTATTTGATCTCTATAAGAATACATATATTTTAGAATTATAAATATAAAATTTAGTTTTTTTTCGACAGCTTCCGTACTTTCGAAACCTTCTCGGTCAGCAGTAAAAAAACACGTACAGTTTCCGGATGAACAGAGTTGCATCGAAGAGGCCACTGAATCTCCAGTGAACACAGAGGAAAAACCCGGTAAGTTTAAAGTCAGTAACAATTTAAGAGCGCTGCCTCAAACTGTTGAAATTTTTATTTAGAAAAAAAATGCTCTACCGTTCATTGGAATTACAATTATTTTGCGTAGACCATAGCCAAATGTAAAATTTTTATTCGGCTCTTTAAAAACAATAATTAATTTGTATTAATAAAATATAAACCTAATAATATAAATATTTTATAAAGTATATAACTAATACTGCAGACCAAATGAACTTAGATGATATTTTACCCTAATTCATTAGTTTCCTGTGGTGCGGTAACATATAAGCCTGTAAAAAAATCTCACAAAAATTTTATCTTTTTAAGTATTGTATTTGCAATTAGTATTGTCAGGTATCAGGGAGATAATTTAGTTAAAATTTCGATATCGCTAATGCTTATGAAAGTTTTCCAAACCTTAACAATGCTTATAATAATCCTAAACGTATAATAAGAATGGTTATTGCATATTAACATTTCAAACGGTAATAATGTCAGGGCTGTAATTTCAATTATTTGAAATTAATCCTATATGCGCAGGTCCTATATCGCGCATGTACTATTTGCGCAGAAATAAAAACAAAGAGTTTATTATTAATAAAACAATAGAATGCGGCACAAAATAAGTGTTTTTCCAAGTCCATAAAAACGCGTTCGAATTAAGTGTTCAGTTTGAAACGATACAAATTCAACAATCCTATTCTTATTAGTTCCCATTTATCTAGACTATCCACTAAAAACTTTAGATTACCCACCTAATAGCTCCACATAATTCGCGACCAACTCTGACTAAACATTAGCCTGCCTGCGTGGCAGGCTAATGAGAGTATATATAATAAGTATTGCTGCCACGTCTATAATTATACCCAAAGGACGAGATTGATTGATCGATTCCCTTTCATTAAACACACAGAGTGTTATCAAACCAAACATTAATTGCCTTTGAATTTCTATCGAAATATTTTCCTTAATTGTCTTAGAAGCCCGCGTAATCAGTTCGTTGTGGATGGAGTTGGAGTCTGAAGCACCGGTGCCGGAGCGCTGACGGCGGCGCAGCGAGCAGTACTACAGGCCGGTGTCGCGCGCTCGCCTCGAGCGCCGGAAGATGTCCGCTGCCGGAGTACCGCCCGCAGACGCTAATATCAAAGACTCGTATCTGTAAATCCAATATGGTGTTGGCTAATCGCCTAAAAGAATATATGAAACGATCATATTTTACCATTGCAATTAAAAACCTTGTCACATCCATCGCGGCGATAAGGCTAAATTATATATATATATATATATATATATATATACATATATATATATATGTATATATTTATGATATATATATATATATATATATATCATCAGTGCATTATCATCAGCACAGTTCCTTATAACATATATTAACATACAGATCTTTGTATACCTGTTATGTAGTGCTTCTGTAACAGGGCCGCACGTTATGGACCACGCTCTCACAGAATACCAACGTAAAATTGCAGGTTAATGCTGTTGTGTTTGGTATGGATATATGTAGATGTCTAAGATTGGTTTGAACCAAGTCGATCTTGTGATAGCGGCACGCTACTAACTTTCTTTAACTTTGTAATAAGTGAAAACATGTAAATCTCTACTTGTACGCCCTTTAATTTATGAATTATTTTGAATAAATATGTTATATTTTTGTGAGAGTGTACAAAGTCGTAAGACTTATAACTACTTTTATTTTAACATTGCCAAACTTATAAACATATTTGAATAATGTGAATAATTTGATATTGTATATAATACACATAACGGATACTAAAATTAATATTATATATACATATATATATCAAATATCAAAATTAAAATTATTTTTGATAGTTTTGTATTTTTGAAATAACGTTTTTTTAGCATTTATAACTTTGTTTCTTAAATAAGAACGTATTTATTGATAATAATGCTCAAGTTCAGTTTTCATATTAATTAAAAGATAAAAACACACAACAGCTAATAGTGTTCGTATATACTCGTATAATTATTATATAATGCTATATATGTTTTTATATATATATATCTATATATATATATATATATATATATATATATATATATATATATATATATATATATATATATATAAAATATTTATATACTAGGTTGATTAATAATTTTTCAGAATAGGACACTTATCAATGTGTTAAAGAAATGCGTTCTATTTTATTTTCGAATCATAAATTCACTACTAGCCAAGGTCAGAAAAAACTTAATTAAAAACCATTCCCATCCCATTACAATCTGTTATATAACTGAGTTTCTAAAGCTTTCGCTGCGGACAATTCAGTTAATTTTAACTGATAGCCCAAAAATTAAATACAAGAAAGAGGAAAGTAAGTGTTGACATTTCAAAGGTAAATTTCGCAATAATTGAAGAAGATCCAGATTCTTTTTGCGCTCGTTTCTTAACCATAATTTCGTAGTTGCTTAACCGTAGGTGAAACGCACTATTTTCACCCGGAAACGAAAAACTAAAGCAAGGCGTGGAAAAGACTGTCTTCCCCGCCAGCCAAAAGATTAAAGGTGTCTGCATCCACTGGATAAAATATGGCCTTTGACTTTGGGGGATGCGAACGGTATTGTACCGTCGATTTCTGATCGATTAATGATCGACTATTTAAGTAAAGGGGAAACAAAAATCGTAGATTATTACGCATCACTGACCAGACAACTACAAGAAGAACCAACATCAAGGGGAATTACGTGCTAGAGTGCTTTTTCATTATGAAAATGCCTCAACGCATCGATCTGATGTTGCAGGCGCTGCCATCCAAACTACTGGGTTTCAGTTGATACAGCACCGACCGTATTTTCCGGGACCTAGCTCCGAGTGATTTTCACCTTTTTGCTCACCTGAAAAATTACTTATCTTGCATGGTACGAAATTTGACGGCAATGAGGAAGTGATGTGTGCTGTAAAGACTTTTTTTGAGATCCAGATCAAGCCTTTTTTGCAAGCGAATTAACTGACTTACAGAACGATATTTAAGGTGTATTAGCTTAAAAGGCGATTACGTTGAAAAATAAATACAATTAACATATACTTATCCTAGATTTTCATTACGTTTCCAAAACTTATTAATCAACCTAGGACGTAATACTATAAGTACAAACCAAGATATAGATAATATATGGTTGCAATAATAATAGTATACTTTAGTACGAAAACTTGTAATTAAATATCTGAATTAATATTAAAAAATTAAAACATTATGAATAATCTCATATAACAATTTTAATTTTCTTAAATAACATATATATTTATTTTCAAGTTTCAATTTTATTTATTCAATTACTTGATTTGCATTGCTTTCAACTTATAATAAGAGTAACATGAGTTCGAAATAGTGCTTATTACTCGTATTCACTCCTTAACGTTCAATATGTACAGTGTCTTACAAACCATAAATTATATTTCACTTTAATCACTTACACATTTTAAAAGCCAGTCATATATATCTTTTTTTTGACAAACCTTGCTAATCATTTCTGAAAACTACACATTTATTAAAACTACTTTTATGGATTTTATAAAATCCGTAAAAGTAGTTTTAATCGATTTCTGATAATTTTACTTCATGTTCGGAATACCAAATTTTTATAATATTTTAATTTATTTTCTTTATGGCGATTAATCTCTTGTTTGTTACTGGCTGAATTACACATTCCTACTTTAAAACAAAATCTTTACCTATTGTTTTTTATATCCACAGTAGGCGACAAATCGGCGCTTAAAAATTTCCTTTCACGATTGTTGAGTACCAACAAGGACATACTAATTCAATGAATTCGCGTGGGAAAAGTATAGGTTCTTCCTAGAACAGGGTAAAGAAAAAGCTTATCTAGTCGTTTGTATTGTAAGAAAAGACGTATTGAAAGGGTTCATAATGGACCTTTTGTCAGTAAAAACGGATTGGGGCCATTAAATAATTATTAATTAAAATAAAACCTGAAGCTGAAGGCTATCGATGTCGTAAAGCTCTTGTCGTAAAAGCTTTTGACTGACTTTCAATGGATGGGATGCAACTTTCTAGGACAATTTTGTTATAATTAATTAATGTGCTAATAACTATGCTTTAATATTATTCAATTATATAAGAAAAGATAAATTTAATATGACATAGTGTATATAAAACATGATTTAATATGGTCAATATAATTCTTAGAGTATACGTAAGCACTAGCTTGTTTATGTATACTCTAAGATATAATCTATACGTTAAAAAATAAAGTATATTAGGACATAACTTTTTGCTTCCTTTTCGTAGATATTGTGAAATTATTAAAGTTTTATGAAACGTATTATTTAAATTTATATTAAGATTTAAGATTACCCAAAGCATTATAATTGAACCTGTAATATGTAGTTATTAGCGTGTAAGCAAAGATTAAATTTAAGGATGATAAAATATAAATTCCTGTATGTTTTTGCAAGAATCTGATAAAATCAAGAATTTGGTGCAAATATATTAATGTATATTCCTAAATATTTTATGATTCAATGTAATATCACTTAAAATGATAATAAAAAGCCAAATGTACGTTTTAATAAATTTATTTCGGTGTAGAAATCACTAGTTTAATTTCATGAAACTCCTAACACTTAGGTAACAAGATAAATAATTATTTACACAGTTTCTTACCCTTAATATATGACTGTTAAACGCCTTAACTTTGTAAGTTCCATCACAAATAATAAAGCTTCTATTTTATACAATTTACAACGAAACTTATTGTTTGCTACGTACGCTGCACAACAAGTATTTTTCTTCTCAACCAGCCCGTAAGTCTAGTGCTGGACATTGATTGACTTCTCACGTTGTTGGGAAGATTCACCTTAATTGCCGCGTTCAGCAAGCATATTGTCGGTCGCTGTTTAATGCCATCTCATCTTTGAGTATTTACTCAAAGCGTCTCACGTATTTGAGCTGTTCACCATTAGCAGTCGCGTCCAGCGTAAGCAAGATGGTTATACTGCCTTCTATCAGATGTCATGAGAACTTTTTGACATTTCCCATACCTTTTTCGACAACTACGGGATAAAATATGTCGACGGATTCCCGTCACTACATATAGCACTTGTCTAACCATTAATGTGATTAGAAAGTCTAGTCTCTAAAGTTACCTGTGGACTTCAGAAACCTTATCAGTTTGTTTACAGCATCGACGGATAATTGCTTAAAAACGAATGTAAAAAAGGCACCAAATTTGTAAAACCACTACAGGTTCTCTTGTGGGATGTATCCTTAGTCATATGTTTCTTGAAAGGGACCCATATATTCACATAGCTGAGCACATGAGATAGCACAGAGTACATTATTATATATTAGCGAATTGGTGAAAGCAAAACTTAGAGCTTCCCGCTCATATGCTGTTCCCAGTGACATGTATGTGGGATATTTCTAGTTTCTAAGAGTAAGACTTATTTTCTATCTAAGAGTCCCTATAGTATGTATGTGGTCTGAAAGGTATAGAATCAAGTATAATTACAGGTTTAGGGGAGTTCCGTATTGTTTTCATAGATGACAACGCACCTGTTTCCATCATTGTTTAAAGTTGGTTACAGTTGTCTATGGGCCGCAGCAGCTACTTAACAACAGGTAGACTGTGAATTTCGTTTGTAAAATAAAAAATGTAAAATACAGTTTCATAAAAAATACTAAGTAATTATACTAGTCTCATTTTTTAATTGCAATGCAACAATGAACTTGCGGTGTTAATATTCCCTGTCCGCGGAAAAGACACAATAATTAAACAATTTAAATGTTCATATATGATACACTAGACAGGGAAAGGGTTAAGGGGGTAATTTATATGCCTCCTCAACAACCCGCTAAATCCCAGCGTCAGAAAACGGTGATTGATATTAGCGAAGTTATAATAATTCCTTGAATATATCGAACTAATTTAGAACCTCTCTTTCCACTTTTTCACATTGTTTGATCAAAACTTTTCAAAAAGTTACAAAAATAATATTATAATGAGATTAATTACATAAATCGTGCTAGTTTAAAGTAA